AATATGAAGATAACACGTTTAAAATGTAATTTCTTGTCTCAATTTTACACATCAACACATCGTTTGTGTAACTGATGAGAATCACATTTTTACGCGATTGGCTTGTGCGCGAGCACGTCAGAGCGACAGAAAAACAGGAGTAAGAGAGCGAATGGAGTGAAAATTCACTCAGTGTATAGAGATATTTGTACGAACAAAGAATGTGCAGCATTCACGTGCCGTGATTGCCAACGGTTTTTCGGCTTTTTATAGATGTTTGAGTGAAATGCAAATATTATGATACATTTTACATTTTAAATGTGTAACTTTAAGTTTTATTGTTCTTTTTGCTATTGTTCCTTTCATTTCTGTTGCATCTTAAAGCTTTAGTTTGTTAAACGATTCCTTTAGATAATGCCGTAGCAAGTCGGCTTCGGCATCTCTGTTCATTAGTTTTGTCTGATGTTGACGAAAGACACAGAACGTAAAGTAAAACACATGCAAATATATTCAGTATGACATGGATACGTTTTATATTAATATACTTTTAGACTCATTCGCTCGGAAGAAGAATATACACCGCATACACACACACATCCAATCAAATCGCAACGAAAATAAAAACGACGACAACGATGATGGTGAAGAAGAAAAAACAATGGTCGTGTATACGAATGGCATTGTTTATTTGTCGCAATGTGTCTGTAAGAGAGATTTTTATTGAATAATCACACCATTTTGTGTTCATTGAATTGAAATGGTGCTACACCATCATCGCAGCAAAAGTTAATGATTGAATGAATTATAATGTCAATGCTTGGATCAAGTCGTTCAAATCATGTTGCCACGTTTTCAATCGTTTCGATTTAGAACAACAACAATAGCGACGCAAAAACGAAGAAAAATTGAGAAAATGAAAAAAAAAAACCGAAAAAGAAACAAGTGAAAACGAGAAAAGCGGTCGATGACGTGTATTATATATTTTAAATAACAAAACGGCTAAAGATCCGTAGGCATTTCGATGTAAATTGGCGTATTGCAACAATAGAAATGTTTGAATGAGTGAGAAAGAGTTACATTCAATGCGCTGAATATTCACTTGCCCCGGTGCCTTTTGCATTCACACAATTAAACAAATATACTCGCACGAGCCTATGTAAGAGCTAACCTAATAATAATTGTTGTTCAAAACTAGAGGTGATATATTTCAACGTCTCATTCACGGAATATCGATTAAAGTGCTTGCGCCAACAGCACACTGCACACATTTATTTAATTACGATAGTTTATTAATAGAGATTTCATGATTTTCACGATTTTTGTGTGCGAACACGCGGTGTGTATGCTTAATTTGGATTCCACAAGTGGAAAAAAATGCGAAACGAGCTAATTTTCATTTAAGAAATAAAGAAGGGTGTCTTATTGGTGATACCCACAAAACCGTCAATTTTGCGACAAACAAAGAACAAAAAAAAAAAAAAAATACGATGCACACAACGACCGCGTTTTTTTTATTAGTTTTGTGTCTCTCTGTGTCTCTATTTTTCTTCATTGACCGTATGCACTTTAACTGTTTGGTGAAAACAATGTGAAAAAGAGCAAGTGCACTAGACAAGAATGAATAATTCTTTTGAACTCAATCCAATTTTTTTTGTTGTCGTTTTCTCTTCACTTCTGGGTGGATAAGTCGGCAGGCCATTGTGTTACCGCATAAACTCGTTACGAAAGAAAAACCATGTTTATGTTCCGTTCATAACGAAGCCGGACACACGATGAAGCGAACAAAAAAAAAACAGAAGAGAGAAAAGACAGCAACAACAGCTGTGTGTAAGGTTTTTCGCTTCTTTTTTTCTCGTTGCATTTGAAAAATGAACGCTTACGTTTATTTGACATAATGATTGCGAGTGAGCAGAAAATTTTTCAGGAAAAATACAGCGAGCACCGGAAAAACGAAGTTTAACGAAGTGATTAGACCTGATACATAAACCAAGCACATTTCAGTGTCAATATAATTCATTCTTGGTTTGTTTGCAGACCGGAGAAGAATTTACTTCAACAAAGTGAATTTTTTTTTCTATGGAACTTCTGAAAGTGAAATTGTACTGTGTCGCATACGAAAGGCCCATAACGGATGTATTGAAAGCAATAACAAAGAATGAATTGCATTCAATTGCAGTACATTCAATTGATTTACTTTTCATCGATACTCGTAATTCGAGGCTCGTAACAGTTTTCTATTTTATTTCATTTGTATCTATGTTTGCTAAGCTTTTGTGTTTATTTGACCATCTGCTCTATTCTGGTCCTGTGAGTATTACTGGGTAATGCGCTCTTCCTCTTTCCACATCCAATTCGCTTTTCATTGGCATCGATAGTGATGGCGGTGACATTGACATCTGATTGGCCAATGAATTGAACGAAACACACGAATTCTGGCGATCATGATGTGAAAGTGTATGTTGCATGAATGCGCGCGCGAGTGAGCGCTCCCAGACAAGCGAATGAAGTAGACGTAAAGCAAGCGAATCTCGTTGAGGTACATTAAAATGATTGCAGTGGACGTCCTTTTGTGTAGTGCCGTTCAGTTATAAGCAACACAAGCTTTGATTATTTTAATGGATTTGTATCGATGCAATCCAACTAAAACCACACAATCGACATTTTATCGTGTTGCAACAAGAGAAGCGCATACGAACCAAAGCAATTCAATTATATGTGTTGGGTTTGATTCAGAGAGAAATTGAAGATGAGAGAAGGAAAGGAGGGAAAAGAGACAGATACAGAGAAGTGCACAAGGGAGGTGGAGAGCGTGAAAGAGCGTGTGAATCAAATGAAAACCGACAAGCTCTTCTTGCTAATAATTGAATTTGAAGTTGAGATTTGATCGGAAAAAGCATTTTCGGTGTGGTGTATGCGAATGGAAAATGGGCACCGATTTTTGCACCTGTTGGCAAATTATTCATCATATTATTTTTGATGTTTGCACATCGCAACAACGACATCCACATCAACAACACGATCTTAATGAATTTTGAACTAAAAATGATGGGCAATTTAATATTATTTCTTTCTAGTTTGTGAAAATGTGCTGTTAATAATTGTAAATCATAAGCAAATGCCACATGTTCACATGCTTGTTTTTGGCCAATTCATTTTTTTTAACGGTGCCCCCATAAAATAACAATAAAAAGCCAAAACACTTTTTTTTCGCGCTTGGCGCAACATTTAAAATCGATTTTAAAATGAAAAATGCTCAATGTAAATTGTCGCATCGTTCGACGCCTATTGTCGCCGCTGCCGTCGCCAAGCAAACAGTCACGACATCATTTTCATATAATAAGCATTTAGCCTATCAACACGAATATGCTCATCAAATTAATTACAATGTTAGACAATATTCACACTTTATTTGTTTACTACAGAATATATACAAGTCGCGATGCGGTGTTCATTTTCAGCTATTTTTCTGTGTTTGCGAATATATGTTTGTGTGTGTGTGTGTCGACATTCGAGATAATTTACATCGAAATTCGTAATGTGTCAAATAAATTATCAATAAATTCATTTATTTTGCAAAATTTTTGATGAAAATTTTAAATGCGCGCACACAAAATGCTTTGTTTTTTTTTCCCAAAGGACCAGTCGACGACACACACGAAAATAGTGTGGGATTCTAGCCATGTCTTTATATCGTTGTTTCTCAACAGGAACATATTTTTTTTTGCTACATTCAATTCCTTTTCCAAAGCGACGACAATAAGCAAACGCCACCAGGGAAAAAAAAAAACATTTTTTTCTTGATCTTGTGAATAATCGTCATCAAACGTGAGAAAATTACAGACAAACGAATGAATATGAAAAATACGTTCGTTGATAGCGATAAAATGGGAGAATTGAAAGAGTTTTGTTTATGAAATTCGGCGTTTTGTGATGTCGTTTGCCTATGAATCGGTGCGCACAAATAATTAAGTGAAATAATCAGAAGATGACATTTAAAACTATATTTATAACGATTTGCACGACAACCAAAACGAAATGAAACGAAATGAGTTTAACGACGTGAAAAACGGCCAGCGGTCACAGTTGATCGAAAGATCTCGCCAAAAAAGTGTTCGAAACTGATTTGTTGATTTAGGTTTATTTTTTTTTGTCTTCGTTTTTTACCTTTTCGATGTTGAATTTAAAATATCTACGTTCTCAGAATTTTATATGATGTATAGGCATGAATTTTTAATCAAATTTTTTATAGGCATACGATGGGCTTTAGCCAGAGTATTTTAAAAATAAAACACATCGAAATAATAAATGATGATCATATAACCATTGGGATTAACCGCAGACAAATCAACGGCCGTTCACGCGCGCGTTACAAATAACAAATTATCATTTGGAATGGCCTACACGATATGATACACGAATTGGAGAACATAAAGTACGAATCGTAAACGATTTATGTGAATTATGAAATTTATCAAAATCTCTTTTTGCCAATTTATTTCATCGGACGGTATATACATTATTTTTCATTTCAAAGACACATTTTATTTGGCATTGTTTTAGTATAATGAAGCCACCAATTTTCTATGACATTTCGATTAGATTTTGTGGTGACCACTTTCACTTGTCATTCACCTTTTTCAGAATCAACACCAAAAACTGTTCGCACCCAGCAATTATTCCCAACGTTACGATGGAATTTTGTCAGAAATAAACAATAGCATTTTTTATAGAATGTGACGAATTGGCGCGTTCTCAAAAGTGTAAATGAACGTATTCAATTGCATACTCTGTTTGGGGAATTTGTAGTAATTTTTGGCATGTGGCACGCGAATATAAATTTGTATATGTGTCCGGTTTGGTGTCGAGTATCATTGATTTTAAATGTGATTTATTTTGATTGTATTATTGTTATTACAACCACTACATTAAATTTAACTGTAGCTAGTGTACGTCTCTCTCGCCATAAATAATAATAATAGTGTTGTTTTGTTTTTAGTTGATTGAAAATGCATTCACATTACCTAGATTGATAAAAATTGTTTACAGCTATAAAGATGAAAATGATAGCTTTTCCTTTCGTTTCGTTGCTGTATCGAGAACCTTCAGACAAAAGATGTAGCTTTTATATGAAAATTATTGTTTATTTTTGTTTTGCACTGATTGAGAAAATCACTTAAAGTCATGTAATTTGTGTCTGTTTTCATGTGCTGACTCACAATCAAGTCGAGGGCAGAAGAATTTAAATTTTCACCGAAATATATATTTTTTAATTTTTTTTTCCAATTTCGTTTTTAAATTCACAAATTTTACATTTTTTTATTCATTCGAAAAAAAAAATCGATGACCGTTGAACAAGAAAAAAATATATATTATATGATACACACACTGTAAATGTTGGGATCGAAGAAAACGATTACTCAGAGTTTGATATAACAGAGTAAGAGAAAGAACTTTCAGAACATCGTAACTGCTCGAATCGTCAACAGTAACTGAATTTCTCTCGGCGTGCGCGAATGTGTTTATTGTCGTTTGTATATATTTTTTTTCTTCTTCTGTTCGATATGATGAAGTTCGTAGCATCAACAGACCGACCGACGGAGTGAAATGATGACGATGACAATGATGATGATTGTTCTCACAGAAACGCGCACATTGCGGCGCTACTCGCTCACAATTCAGCTCATATGTGGCATGCCAAATGTTATATCTCGCATATCTGCTTTTCGTTGGATACAAAACTGTTTTTGGTTTTGTTTTTGGCGCGCTCACATCGCATTTATATTTTTTTTCTTTCATTCTCTTTCTAGTTTTTCCGAGAAATTTATGTCATTCGTCTTCCATATATAGATAAATGAATCACATTTTATATGAAATAAATTCAATATGTGCAAGTCATTTCAGTTTTGTTTACATAAGTTGAATTTATGCCGTTTAGTGTTTTTTGTGCAAATATTTCATTCACTGCAAATGCAACGGAATCATTACCATCAACATCATCAGGGCACCATTTTGGCTCAATCATTTGAGAATTACTCAGAAACATGTGCAACCCGAAAATGTCTCAATTGACAAAATCACTCACAAATCCGGGTGCAAAAGATTGTTTGTAAAAGATTTTGAGCAATAATTTCATATGCGATTGTCCATTCGAAATAAATAACCGTTGATTCAACGTTTAAATTTGTGTCAATATCAAAATCAATAAAAAAAAGTGTGATTTTTTTTTCTGAACATTGCGTGAGATTCAAATGAAACACATTGAATTCAAATCAAACTTGTAAAAGCGGTGAAATTAGTTCAGTTGTTTTGTCCATAACGATAAAAGTCGCTCATAAAGTCAATGTTCCACTTCAGATTGAACATTATTCATTTGATCTATTTGGATGTTGGTTCACCAAAGTCAATGATAATTATAAAAATCAACAACCATGGTAAGCGCCACGATGTCGATTTTTGTTACACTCAAAAATACAAAAATGTCAATAAGAAAAGTAAGCCTGGCATTAATTGTGATCATTGATAGCAGTGCCTTTAATTTATTCTCTCATAACAGAATCGTTAATTTTTTATGAGCATAATTTTAATTTAAAGGAGTTGCATTCCATAAAATGCAATCTGTCAATCTAGTTAGTTGTTGCATGTGTATTTTTTTCAATAATAAAATGTATGAGGGATAAATGTAAAGATACAAAGGGAATAATATAAACACGCAACGAATTAAGGCGCATTTACTCTAATCATATGTGAAGTTTTTTTCGTAACTTATTTAGTATTACTTTCTCTCCAAAAGTCTGATGACTTCGGTATACTTAAAGACCACCCAAAATGAGTGATTTATTACATGCGAAGCTCTGTTTAATTGTTTCAAGTATTTAATTGGGTTTGATGATGGGTCGAGTCCATGAAATCATTCCTAAAGTAAAGTAGACATCATAAAATCAACCATAAAAATAAATGCAATGAAGAGTCTATTTTTAAACTGAACAGACGTCCATAATGCGCACAAAAGTGCCAATAAAGTGCAAATTTCATGCAATAAAAATTATTTGCACCAATAAATGTGTCACCTGTACGAGCATCTGCTTCACTCACCGAATGAATATTACGATCACTTTGAAGATGTAATATGTGTTTAGCATATTGACTGGTTGAGTAATAAAATGGGCTTTTATGTTGACTTTTATACATTTGCATGAACAAATTTATGGGTGAATTAATTGTAATTAATGAGGCGAGTGACAAAGAAAAAAATTTAAATGTATTTTATGGAACGAAAATGGTCAAAAGTTTACTTTTCAAGGTGTAAAAGTTCATCATTATCAAATTGATACTTTGAATATATCATAATACCTACCTCGGCAAATAATGTGCACTATACCTTTTGGAGCATGTCTGTCATCAAGTAAAACATATGCCATATTAATTCATGTTGACAGAGATAGTTAGTTGTGGTTTTTTTTTTTATTTATTGTTCAAATACTCTAAATATTAGAAGTTAAAAAATGTTCTTTTCTTTAAATTTTCTTTTTGTAAATGTTTCAATATGTTCTTCAAACAAATGTGATGAATTCTCCGGGAAAATCATGTGTTTGTGTCTACAAATTTTCATTAAATCTATATAACTTAATTCATTCTAAAGCAAATTATAAAAATTCACAGTTTTGTTAATCTTCTAAGTATTTTAAAGTAATTGGAAATGGAGTGGAGTTGTATGTTCATTTTTTCGGTTTTTTGCCAAAGTTTTCACCATCTTCAATGGTGGCTGGAAGTGGTTGTCTAAAACAAATAGAAAACAGTATAATAAAATCCATAAAAATATATATAAAAGGTAAGCTCTTTCATACCCTTGTGTTTCTGGCAATAATAATACTAGCGCTGCGCCCAAAATGGGCACAATTCCAAATACGATCGGTGGGTAAATGTGGCTGATATATTTTAAAGTGATAATGAAGGGTGCAACCATCGAGCCAATTCGAGCGATCATTGAAGCTATAAAAGGAACCATCATTTATTAATTTCAACCGTTTGGCTGTTGATAATCGAAATGACTTACCTGTGCCCACTCCAACGTTTCTCACGACTGTGGGAAAGAGTTCTCCGGCATACAAATAAACAGTTGGGAATGAAACTGACATTCCCACTAAGGCGATCGATGCTAATTCGACTTGTATCAATGGTTTATATGCGATTAACAGCATGCAAATGCCTGTTATCGTATTACTGAAAATCAATGTCCATTTTCGTCCGAATTTTTTCATTGTATAAATACATAGAATCGTTCCCGGTATCTCTAGGGCAGCTGATACCATAACATTTTTGAAAATATCACCGTCACTCTCACCAATGTATTGTGCAACGCCAAAGAAGCACATACCACACACGAGCCAATTAAAGCACATGCAAAGTGTCTTTGAACGCATGTTCGGCGTACGAAATAGATCGAGAAAATTGCCTCGGGCCACTTCTTTTACATTTGTATTTGTGGCGATGGCATATTTGTCCAAATCCATTTTAATTGTTTCGGTTGGTCGTTTATTGAATTTGGCCACTTTTTCAAGCACAGCTGCCGATTCGTCCGTTCGACCAACGGTGAATAGCCAACGTGGACTTTCCGGTATGATCCAATAGTATGAAATGAGAATAAGCGATGGAAGTGATAGAGCAAGCTGTAGGTGACGCCAATCGCGAAAGAAGTAAGCAAACATTGGTAATGTTAAATGACCTAAATTAAATGGAATTTGATATAAAACGGAAATCAGTTCACGCCAACTCGTTCCAACGAGCTCCATTACAAGCACAAAACTAAAGGAAGTGATAAAAGAAAACTTAGTTCATTGAAAACTAATTTGAACATTTAATATCAAACCTAGTGACCATTGTGCCTCCAGTTGCAAATGCAGTGACGAATCGTAGTACACAAAATAGCCAAAACCATGGAACAAATGCTGTCGCAATTCCTGAGATCAATTGGATAAAAACAGCAATCACCAATGGTCCCCGTCGACCAAATCTATTTTAAGTAAGAAAATTCAAAGAAAAAAACTCATTTAAAACAAATTCAAATGTTTTTGTTAAAAGAAAACAAAAGCTTACTTATCAGCTAATGTACCAAAGACCATATTTCCCACAAGAATGCCAAACATGAAAATTGTTTGTGATAAGTTTGCTAAATGCTTTCGATTGCATACCAAATTCCATGTCATTTGAATTGTTTCCGTAAAAATGTCACGTTTATACTCATATGCATTGCAATCAGCTGAACATTCATTGATTATACTTGAATTGACGCAGGTAGCATTGATTTTTGGTGCCATAAAGATGATACTATTTAAGTGATTCACAATATCAATTGTAATGAAGAAAAAAACATCTTAAAGCACGCGATAATCACGCAAATACCTCATTTGATGCCAAGCAACCGGGAATTTCAATAGAAATATAAATCCGCACACGATGACATGCCATCTCCCAAGCGATCCCATTGCCTTTTGAATTGGATCCGATTTAGGTGGATCTGGTTTCTTTTCATTATTGCGAACATTGTTTGTATTATTTACTCCGTTGGCTTCCAAGTCAATTGCTGTAAATTGAACCAAAGTGTAAGAGATAAATCAATAGTTGTATGTTGAATTGAATTAAGTGAAGTTAAAATAAATTAGTTTTTATAAGAGACAGCATGCACGCTGCTCAACCATTCTAACCCGGATAAATTACATAAGCTAAACTAACGATATCAATTTAAAGAGTCTCGTGGTTTGTTTTTTTGTTTTATATCGTCGCTGACTGAATGCATCCTGATCAAATTGACCTCGAGAATCGATGAACGATACTTATTCGAAAGATTTACGTCAGAGTAAACGAATTACTTTGAATGTGGTCGCTTACGAAGTTTGAGCTTACCTGCTGTGAACGTTATCTTTGATACACAATGGTCAAGTAATTGATTCAGTTGAACAAACGATGTGCTTGTGGATACGCTTCCAATTTGTGTGTCAGAGAAATTTGCTATGGAATGTTCTAAAGTCAATTGATTCCACTTTGAAATTGTATTAAATTATATAATCGAAATGCACCAATTTAAAGTGATTGAAAATTTACGAATTACCATCACGACGACACATGCGAATTCACAAAAATGCCATTTGACTATGTCAAAACAAAACATCTTTTTACGTCATGCAAATACACTATCACTTAAATAGAAAAAAACAAAAATATTTTCGTCAAAGAACCCCCATCGATTGAAGTTGCTTGAACCATGAAATTAATTTGCGTGCTTTTCTCGTTGTCAGGAAGTTCGCGTGAATATATGTACTATGTGTGTGTGTATGTGAATAGAACGAAGCTCGATTACATTATCGCAAATATCTCATGCCACACCTCATACAACTTTATTGCTATTTTTATGTTGAATGACCCATTTGCTATTCTGAACTTCACCCAATTATCGAACCACATGCATCACATCATTTATAACATCAAATGAATACACTTCCTTTTACAATGTCCATTATAAATGTCTTTGTCTTATTGGTTTGATCAATTTCTACATTTGTATTCAATCAAATGGACACTTTCGGATGAGTCGTCGTGCCAAATGAAAGAATTCGGCAAATATGTAAATGATACATTTCACTTGTAAATTGAAATAGTTATAAGTTGAATACGAAACTAAGTGGTTTTTCCCATATCTCATTCGGTATCGCTTTGACAACAAATTGGTCGACAACGCATTTCTATTCGAAATAAGATGTAAATCGAATTGTGATGATCATGCGAAGCGCATAGGGAATCGATCCATGAAAAAACTCATTTCCAATCAAATCTTTCAGTTGTACAGTGTCTTTAAGTAACTCACTCAAATTTCCGAATGCCGTCTGCTGTTATCAGTTGAAAACCGAGACATAAACAACGGAATCGATGTGGTTTTTGTTGTTGGGTGTGCATTCGGTTCAAGTCTTATAGACACGACTATCAAGCTTCAGAAGCGTACACATCGTAAATTTGTTTACTCAATTACGGAGCATGCGTACGGTTCAAAAGTGATGATCTTTGTTTACATTTGCAGTAATATACCAATATAAAAACATATGACTTGAATTTAATCGTTTATACATTTTTTGTTTGTCAAAATGAATAATCATTATCTCATTATCTCCTCCTTCCCGAGAAATTCTTTGTATGTTTTTCTCGAGCTGTATACGATTAAATGAAATCTAATTTTAAAAAAATAATTTTCCTAAGCTACGTAAACGATTGCTTTATATGGCAATAAACGTATTTATGGTATAGATTAATATCAAACTTCATTTGCTTAAATCGCAAAAAATTGAAAAAGAAGGGAAAAAACTGAAGTGCAATCGAAGTCTGAAATATTTTTCCAAAACATGTTTAATTCACTTGAAAAATGCGATTAAAATCGTTATGACATAAACATCAACAATGTCGCACATAACAGGAGACTTTACCACTTCGATTTTATAACAATTTTGCATTTCTTCTCTGCGTCACATCAGGAAGCCACGAGTTCACTTTTAACCAACAACAAGGGCTCACTCTTAAAAAAATAACTCATACATCGATTACATCAAACGAAAAAATAAATGAACTTACATTTTTCCATGTTGCCGTGATATAATGCTTCAATGCACAAGCTTCGTTTCAATATCAAAGTCAAGTTTATTGCGGTCTGTTAGTTTTGTTTGGTGTTTATTCAGTTATTATTTATTTTCGTGCACCAAAAAAAAAAGAACTAACAGTCACAAATGGGGGGTCTTGCTCGCGTATTTTTAGTTTGTTGCAGCACAATGAACGAACGAAAAAAAAACTTGCAAACACAGCTGTTCTGTGATGCACGGCTACTATACACAACTATGCAAAAGTATTCCTGAGTATTTACACTTTGTTTTTTTTTTCTTCACACTTCTTTCTTCACCTAAAACCGTCTCTTGAGAGTAAAAAAAGCGCGTGTCATACAAAAACGAGGAAAAGTAAATATTTTCACTTTGAACTTGAACGTTTTTTTTTTCTCACTTAGTTCGCGTGGTTCTGTTTTCGTTTCGGAACTTTTCACTGATTTAATTATAGTTATGCTTGTATTTGAATTATTTGAATCAAGTGAAGCCTGTAGAAAACATGGGCAAATGGAAGCAAAAACCGAGTTGAAAATTTTGATGGGGAAAAAGTTCCCTTTTTATCTGTCGAACTGAAGACAGAATGTAGTAACCTTCAATCAAGAAGTGAAAGAATTTCGGCTATTTTTTAATTCTCTATCGACTATTTTTGTACGCGTCAAAATCGTCACACTTTTACAAAAACAGAAATTTGCTACGAATTCTACTCTCGTATGTCCAAAGCACGAGTGAACGATAATATGTGAGTTTTTTTTCTCGTGGTTTGTTTTGACGCGCTTTTATTTCTCTTCTTTTTCTATTTATGTTTGAATCTGGTCGATTTCTTTTGTGTAGTGTGCTACTGAGCTCAAAGCCGAAGAGTGAAATGGTACATCATTCGTATATACCTAACGGTTAATACGCGACTAAACCGGTAACTGAGTGAAGCGCTTCATTTTATAGACGGACTACATTGATATACATATACACATGCTGACGACGATACGTCGATACGAATGTGTTTGTTTTGCTGTATAGCTTGTGCTTGCTCTCGTCTATTAACACAAACGAATTAGATAATTTTTGAACTTGATGTTTTCTCGTCGTCCATACGTTGTGATGCCAAACCGATAACGTCTCTAGTCAGTTTGATACACATTTATTCTACCAATTTGTGGTATCGGCTGTGTTTGTGTATGTGTGTGTTTGTTTTTCTTGTGGCTTGTCAATCCTCATCAAGATCCAACTTAACAATTTAATATATTCCCGTGAATCAATGACTTGGAAAATCATATGCAAAAGAATGTGCAACAATATCATTTTTCCATCGAATGCACTTGGTGTGACATTTTCAAAGTATAAATCAGCCACATATTTTTAAAACAATAATCGCTTCGAATATGAGCCATTTGATCTGAAAATTCCATAATTAACTTTCAAGATCTGTTGGCGATTGTGTTTCGGCCAATCACATGTTTCAGTATTTGTTTTTTAAATTTGCACCAATTAGAGATTTTAGATTTATCATGTGCGTCAAGGTATAACGGAAATCGTTTCCCGTTGCCTTTACATACTGGCCTGATTGATTAACTAATGCCTGTTAATTGGTTCAAGGAAAGTATAATTGTTCTTAAATTAGAAGGGCTCATCTCATATGAGAGACTTTGAACTTCATATGTGACACAAAGTGAACTTCTTCGATTTGAATGCAAAACAATATTTTTATTTTCTATTTCACCTTCCATTGCAAAATATTTCTCCGCTTAATTAACTTTTTTCGTTATCGCGAACGTTTTGTTTTGAATATATTTGTTTGTTTTTTACAAATGCAATATACGTTAAAATTATTGTTGGAAGAAAAGAAAACCGATTCTGTTTCATTTCAATTTTCATCATTTGATTATCCTATTGAAATATATATTTATACGTGTTGAATAAATCGCTTCCCTTCGATTTATTCGCGTACCGATTTTTTTTGTTCAGCATGCGCTGCCTCACACATATTCTCACTGTTTCTCTCGTGTGTGTGTGTGTGTGTGTTATCATTCCGATGACATTAAATGTGTATATTTTTCGAGTGCATCTCTTTCAGATTTCATTCTTTCAGCATATATAATATATAAAATCGTCACCAGTTCAATAGGTTTTTCGAACCGTAAATGCAAGCAAATTTCTTTATTTTCGCTGCGATTGAATCAATTTAATATAATTTTGTAATATAACCAATTTTCAATGGCTAATTAGAGATACGGCATTTTTTCGAAGGCATGCAAACACAAAATGCATCGTGGATTACATTTTAAAGTCATTTGAAAAACCCAATCATAACTGTATAAAAAACGCTAATGTAGAACTGCATACGAAACGACTCACGCAAAATGTGCATACCGCTAGCTCAGTAATGGGCGAGCCGCATTTCTCAAGGGGGATCTGATTTTTCAAAAAGAAAAAAATTCCTAGCAAATCGGATGAATTTTCGTTTTTTTAAGCACTTTTTGAAGCGAAATTCGAATAATTTTCGCAAAAAAAAAAATTCTCATCCAAATCACAGGGGGTTGGGTAAACCTCCCTTTCGCACATTACTGCGCTAGCTATATGAAATCGATGCATGAACCGGCAAATCGATGAAATCATATGCAACAGTTTATTGGAATATATCTTCAATTCATAAAAGAGTTGCATCATCATTAAACAGAGGCTGGTTTCATTTGCCATTTCAATGGAAAAGCAACATATGCCAAAGTCGCATGCTTTTCATATGTGTCCATATTAGATACAAAGTGATAGTGGGACTTCACAATTTATACGCAATCAAGATATACGAACTGTGAGTCCAAAGCTAAATTTATGACTTGAATCATTCTATCGGCATCTGTTCTTTCACCTTGTACACACATCCATAGATAATATTAAGACAGTTATGTGAAATAATGTGAATCATTAACATCTTTCAAGAAAAAAATGTGAATCTCTTCAATGAAGACTTCAACTATCGATATTTACGCGTATAGTGAGCGACAGTGTTGAAATTAGCGCCATGGGTTCAAAATCCACTTTTTTCTCTGACTTATGATAATGCGCTAAAAATGTCTCTAGTGTCTAGTGTCTCATGCAATTGATATTTCTAGTTTGTTGGTTGATTTTTATTTCGATCTTCGTATGACACACATTCAATTCATGTTCACTGGCAAATGCTGCGCACATAATTTAAAGTATTTGGGTTTTTCTAATCAATTGCAATTAACTGAATTTTTTGTCGTAAATTTTCATTTTATCAATCGTTTTTTCATCCACTATTTTTTAATATCATTTTCGATTGGTTTTTTCCATGCCTTGTTGATATTTCAATCTCATTTATTTATAATTTAAATAGAAAAAGAAATAGTTTATCAACGTTTCTGGAAAAAGTCACGAAAATTGAAAGTATAAAAAAAGTCATAGTTTTTCAAAATTTAAAACGGCTTTTAAATAGTAGTAACCGATAACAAAAGCACTTCGAATAATAGGAAGGTAGTGGTGAGCGATGTTAATACATAATATAAAGTCGTTTAAAATAACAAAAGCAACCGTATTGTTTACGAAGCAATTGAACTAATCAATGAAAGTTCCAGTGACAAAATAAATTATTCGGACAGCGGTTGAAAATAAAGCGATAGCACAATAATGAAAAATTCAATGAATAAAGAGCAGTGTGTGAATGGGATGTTGACAAAAGTAAAAAAAGATCTGAACGAACCAAATTGATACACTATTGAATATTATGCTAATTACATACGTAATGCGTGTGAATCAATGTGTCATATTATACACACCTTAGAAGTTAGATAATTTACTTAATTTTTGGCTTGACGATAATTTTCTTCTTTTTTTACTAATTTTTTGTCAATATAATTTCCAAGAATTTCTCATTATTAAAGTCAATAACGCGCCTCCGTCCAAATATCTGAGTACATACTCCAAATATCATATAATTCACACAGCGACAAATTAGCAATATTATATTACAATTGTTGATGTTTAATTTCACAAAAGAAACACCTCTACTTTCTCGTCCTTAATTCGGATCAAAAAATGAGACGTTTTTTTGTAGTTATCATGTTGACATTTGTGTCCTTCTCGATTTCATCCAATCAAATTACGTTTGGTTTATCCTTTGTGTTTGATCGATACACCTTGAACTTTCAACGTTGCTGACAGCATTTTGTTTCTCTTTTTCTCTCTTGTTATTCGTTATCAAACAGAAAAGTAAGAGTTTTCTTTTTTGTTTTCGCCATTTTTTTGTGATTGAATGGAAATCAATATATATAACGAATTGATTGAAACGCAGTTCAATAAGTCTTGAATTTTAGCGATTAAAATGAGGAAGTACCATGAATGTTAACTGAAAAAAAACTCACAAGGAAGTTCATTTCATCTTCGGTCGGTGTCATTTCACTCTTTACATTTCATAAATCAATATAAATTCATTTCGAAATTGCAAATCGTTAATTTAATTGCATTGCCTTTTTTGATTTATACAATGCTTTCAGTTTTATCACTGCGCGTTTTCTTACGAGTCAATAATGTTGTAATAAAGCGTCTACAAAAATGGATCGGTTCATACATTTCCAATGCGAATGCATGTGTAAATAAGTCATTCATGAGAACAGTTTGAGTGAAGCGACGGCGACAGCAATAATGACGACTCTGACAATATTTTCTTTTAGCTTCTTTTGATGTATCAATCAAAAGGTCATAAAATCAAATGCTTTATCGATAGCAATTTTTTGTTGCGGTTGCTGTATACGCGATTCGAATGAATCAAAACTCAAAACAGGCGGCTATTTACAACACATACACACAGTTGCAAGCATTTTAAATATTAAAACTGTATAGTAAAAGAGATGCCAAGATTCCAACTGTTTGTGGCGTTAAAATTGGTGAAAGCAAAAGCAAACAATGAATGACCAGCACACTCTTGTTGTTCGGTAGTTATTCTGGCCACAAATATCTCCAAACACAAAAGCCTTTTGAAATCAATTGAAAGAAGGAGCATTGAATGAGTTGACAATGAAACACATGCCTCAAGTGGAAAGATTATCGAAAGTGTGTGAATTTTAAATTAAATACGAATCCAATACTTCTTCTAATCGGCGCAGTGAGAGAACATACATGCATTTTATGCATCATTGCATGCGACTATAATACGTTGATTTTGCGCTTTTTCTTATTCGTTCATATCGTGTTCGTAGCACGCGCTCCAGTGTCTCGTTGCTTAAGTGTGGGTCGGAATGACAAAATTATTTATTTTATATCGATATAAACGTAGAACAAAATTAATCATCAAGCATTCATGCATGAAGAATGGAATGAAATCTCAAACAAATCAACATTAATAAAATGCAAATCTCACCTTGAATTTGAGAATAAAATTTGAAACGCATAAATGCAAATTTTAACGCATGTTTAGATTAACACTTCATTTGAAACTGTATTTCCTTGGACTGACAAAATGCAGGTCACATATTTCAATTTCTTTTTTTTTTTACTTACGAATCAAGTCGGACAAAAACGAATAAGTGAAAGAAATTTTTCATGCATTTTATTCACACGCAAAACTAAAAACAATGGAAATTACTTCGATCAATGATTGAAGGCAATGCTTATTACATCATACCGTCCTGTGTAGTTAGTTAGTTTAATATCCAGAGTTCGCAACGGAGGCGATTTTTCAACTCCGAAACCGACTGAAGCCGAAACTATTAAATCCGATGCCGACCTTTCTTTGACGGACTCGGATCGGCTCGGATCGGTGGTCAGATGTTTGCGGTGCTCGGACAAAATTGAATACAATATTTTGTACGAAATTGAGAAAAAAATGAAATTTATTTAAAATGGGAATAAAAAAATGAAAAATTCATTCAATTTTTTGGATTTTTGTAAAAACAAATGTTCATTTTTGTGAGAACATCCAAGCATCCGAACTATCCGGTCGGTCGGCGTCGGATATGATAGTCACGAACACAAATAGTGCGAACACACATTTATTAATATCATTTATGGCGATTGATATGAATCTCATGATTGTGTCTAATTATTTCGAAACTAAATTTAATCATTCAATTGGAAATCAAGGCAAACACAGAGTAATTATAACACTTCATTTGAATTATTTATGCCGTAACAGTCGGAATCTTATTCTGTCAATAATAGAAAATATTTTAAACACATTTAAATCCCATGACATGCTGCATTATAATCCAAAAACGTGAAAGTGATAAGCATATACCATCGGAAATATACAAAAATACAAATCATATGCATTTGAAACGAAATAACTGACCACACATTCAAATGAGTAATGAGTTATACTTAAAAATGCACTGTAAATATGATTGGATATAAATTACCTTTGTTTGGTTTACGAAGTGCAGGAACAATTTCGGCACGCCTATCGTCCAGATCGAATGTTTCGTTAATTTCTGTGTCGGACATTTCGGAACCTGTTAGGTGTGATTAAAAACCGAACGGTGATTACGTTTTCCAAAGGCAAATTGACCGAATGAAATTCTCAGAATAATCAAATGTGTCCACAAGTGTAAAAGTGGCACTGATATCACACACGTGTACCTAACACATTTATAAAAGATGAAATATGAAGATAAACTATTATAAAATATCAAACTACATCAATAATATTTTACACGAAAAGAAAACCGCCAATTTATAGGTACAAAAAAAATATTTTTATCGATATTCACCAAAGGTTGATTCACAGTGAACAGACCGATAATGTTTTGATATTGACACAAGGTGATAAATATTTCTGGAATGAGCGATTCAGAAGCGCGTAAATGTCACACAACTTTTGTGTATGACTCGCTAAGATAGTTCGATAGTAACTGACTTAAAAATCAACACCATAATAATCGAGAACGTTCAATAATAAATAATAAGCATCAGCAAAACACTCTATTGAAGCAATTATAAGGAAAAGCACAAAGGAAAACTACAACTAACAAGTTCGAGCATAATAATACATAACTGACAAAATATATATATATGGCGTGCAATAGGCGCTTACTCGGACGAGCGCGCGAAAATACGTTGGTTTTTGTTATGTTGTCTATACGGCGCACAGTCGTTAAACACAACCTGCTCTCTCTTTTTTCATTAAAAAAAAACATTCTCTTTTGCGTATCGGCGCAACGTAATAACTTTTTTATCTATACATTTATTATTTCGTCTGAAAACATTTCCAAAGTGTGACAAAGTGATACAACCAGAAAAATGTATGATATTGCGCGCGCGTGTTGCAGCGAATCTACGTACTTCACCTGCAAAATAATGATATTGCATGTATATATTTTTTATGTGAGGCATTGAATCGCACACGAGAATCAAAAGCGCAACGAACGTCTGTGGCATGCTGCTGTATCATACTCAAGTAATATTTTTTTCGCACTAAAATGACATGTGAATCGTTACAGCGTAAAAATAGCTATTATTTTTCTCCAAATAATAATACTGCGATATGAAGTTTACATAGTTTATACTGCTGTATTATTTAGAGAAAAGTAAAAGCTATTTTTTCGTCGTCACGATTCATATGATACATATGTACATTTTCAGCATCAGAATTTCTAGTAGTAGTCGAATTCAAATAAACATACATACAACTTCTTTCGAAATTTCAATGGAAAACATAATGTGTGTGTGTGAACACATAAATCCAGTAATGTGCGAGGAAAATTTTTCAGGGGGGGTGGGTGGTTTTTGAAACCAAAATTTCTCTAGCAAATCAGACAAATTTTCGTTTGTTTTTTTTTTGGAAGTCACTTTTTGACGCGAAAATCCCTAGCAAATCGAAAGAATTTTCTCCGCGAAAAACCATAGCAAATCGGAAAAAATTCACTCGGAACCAAAAAACCGAGGAAATTGAAAGAATTCTCCTCAATTTTCTACATTGATGAGCTAAAAAAAAAAGGTCTTCACTTTTAGAATCAAAAACCCTAGCAAATTCGAATAATTTTCGCGAAAAAAAATTTCTTATCCAAATCACAGGGGGGGTAAACCCCCTACCCCCCTTCGCACATTACTGCATAAATCCCACTTGCAAATAGAAAAAGTGAAAGACAAAACTATGATTATTACACCCCGACACGAGAAGAGATACATGGAATCGTCTTCGCAATTCTTTCCTGCAGAGAATTAACCATCATAAAATGATTTATTATAAAACACACATAAGCATACGCGATATAACTGGATTTTGTCAAAGCTTTCTGCGATTTTGTGTTGTTATTTTCTCCCTCTACCAATCAGCATATTTAATGTGCAAATTGCACATTGCAGATTGTCGTACGTAAATGATTGTCTGTTTCATCGTTTGTTTTTGTTTTCATTTCTTGCGTTCCAAAGGTCTTTCCAGTGTTGAAACAAACTCTTCGATGTACGATTATGAACACATTCGACCACAAACTCGATTCGAATTCGTGCGTTTTGTGCACGTTTTTGCTCTTAACATAATTGATTTATCAGTTGCGTTCTGGTTTCAATATTATTTATAATTCATCATCATATACATTTCAATGCCATTTTTTCACTGTTCAATTTAAAACATCAGAAAGAAATTTGTCTATTTTTCACAAATACTTATTCTTTCAACAACTTCATTATATACGTGTTATAAAAAAAATTGTGCGCTCTATAGAGAGCGTCAGTATCACTTGATCACCTTTTTTCAACTGTTGAATAGAAATTTTGTGCGAAACAATATAATTCCTCAAATATTTAAGCGATGATGCGTTTTACAGATGCTGTCTATCAAAATTGATCATCTCACAATAAAAAAAAATACACAATTTTGAATCCCGAAATAAAAAAAAATTCAAAGCAGATTTCTCGTTTCAATAAATTGAGATTGGACGATTTATTATGTTTCATGCGCATATGACTACTGAATTTGTTTTACGCACAAAATAAATAAACGCTCATATTATTGTTAGATGAAAAATGTACGATTTCGATTATATTATTCATGCTGCAAGTAAATAGAGCGAAACGCAAAAAGAATAGAATATGTTTATGGTTCATCAATTCTCAAAAGACCCGTGTACATAACATATTATTTCCAGGAACGTATTTTCAATTTTATTGTAAATAATAAATTTGGTTTGATTGAAAAACTCAGCGGAGAAATAGGGAAATGATTCTGATGCAAATTGAACCAGAAAATTCAAATTATGAGATAATTTTCCACTGTCCGAAATATTTCATCGCAAAAAAAAATTGTAGTGAAGTATGTTTATGATTTGGTATTCGAAATAAATCAAATAAACTAAAATCCGAGAAATTTTCTCACATTTTATGCGATAAAAAAAGAAAACCCATTTCAGTTGTAATTCAATTGTGTGTGGTTAAGAATAAAGTTTTTATTTATAATGAATTTGATTGAAAGCCAAAGGAATAGAATGTTGAACATAATTTGGACTTAAAGTGTCTTTTTTTTCTTCATGTCACTTATTTATTAGAATTGATTTAATTGGGAAATTGAAAATATTTTTAGTTCTTAAATTTTAATTGTATAAATTTCATTTTTATTCCAATGTTGTTGTAAAAAAATCCATTACAATCTAATTTATCTGATCAAATAACTCTTTTAGTAGGTGTTACATTCATTGAACTAGATTCGTTTGCACATTGTCATGAGTGCACGCATGACTAAATATATGGGAAGAATTTTTTTTCTAAAAAATGTGAGTTTTTGCATAAGATGTGTTGAATGTGCACTTGAAATTTGCCATTTTCCTATTTAATTGATACGAAACATATTTTATGATTATAATCATAATTATTGATTTTTGCTTAAATCAGTATGACTGTGGAGCATTTCGTTTAATTAATATACAAAAATATTCTCTATTGGTATTGTTCATTTAGTATGCAAGGTGATTTTTTGAAAATATATGCATAATTATTGTACATTTTATATTTTGGGGTTTTATGTCATTTTTTTTGTTGTTGTTGTTTTTGGTTGGCATCCCACAATATAGAATTGTTGATTTTTCTTGGGAAAATCCATTTCAATTTCGTCAAATTGTTCGATAAATATCATCAAAAATACATTGGTGTTCTTACTATTAGCCACAAATCATAAGTTTTTTTTAATTTACAAATATGAGCTGTAAAAACACACAGATCAACATTCATTTTCAAATGTATACACAAAAACACGTAACAATAAACAATTTTTGTTTGTTCAAATACCAAAATTACAATGGAAGAATAATATTGTATTTATAAATAAAATTTATTTGAACTCTTTTTTTTTCAAACTTTTTGTTGTCATTCACTAATTCAGTTAGTGATGATTGACTAAATTGGATTAAATGTTATTTACAAAATATAATTAATTGTGTAATTGGTTTTTTTTTGTTTCGTTGCTACAGTCGCAAACAGATCGACATTGGAAATCTAACTGAATCAAACAAAAAATGGATTCGTAAATACAAAGGGTCAAACCACGAAGAAGGGCTCATTCGTAAAACATAGATAAAAATTTGGAAAGCGATTAGATAAGATTATAATTGGATTTTTATTAAGGGTACATTTGTGATTCTTTGTTGTCTTTGTTGTCATTTAGTCCATAGATTTACACCGATTTAAATGTTAAAAATAGAATTTGTTAAATGGGATTGGAGCGAAACAATAACAAAACTTAGATTTAAAATGACAATTTTACAAATACACAAAATTCAAATACATAGAAGAATTGTTTATAGTCTAAATAAAATATTGAAGCACAAACACCACTCTAACGCATTTAAAGATATATTGGAACTTATCAGCACTTGATCGGGTTCTGGAATATAATATTTCTGTTGTTTTTTGTTTTGTTTGTTCGGTATTTACTTTGATATTGATCAACATTCATTTATCGTATCAATTGCATATTATGTGGCATGCGCATTAATTTTATCTCTGGCACGTCGTTTAGCAAGTGCACTTGCTCCAACTGGGCCGACATTGGCTGCTTGAGGTGACGAAATTGCACGGAATGTTGCATTCACTGCACCCTTCAGCGCAGCGGCCGTTGAATCACAGATCATCGATTGATTTGAGCTGGATGGAATTTCAATCGGTTGAGTACTATTGTATGGTGTTTGTTGCACAATCCATGGATGTCGAAGAATTTGAGCTGTCGTTGGTCTTCGATTTGGCACAATATGCAGCATTTGACGAATCAAGTCTTTTGCATCCGATGAAATCGTATTCCAAATCTAAAAGGAGACATTTTTTTTATTGAACAGGTTGATTATTGAGTGGATTTCATTTTTTTTTTATACTTACACCCGAGTCCAAGTCAATTTTTCCGGCACCAATGCGTGCTAAAATCATTTCGGGCGAATCATTAGGTGAGCTTGCGAATGGAGTTTTTCCCTCAAGCATAATGTACAGTAGAACTCCTAGAGACCAAATATCACATGCTAAATCATAACCTTGTCTTTTTAAAACTTCGGGCGCCACAAAATTGGCTGTATAACAAGGTGTCATCAGTAGTCCATTATCTGCTCTAAGTTGTTTGGCAAAACCTAAATCGCATAGTTTCAATGAATCGGGCGTTTGGTTAATCGAAGCATAGAGAAGATTTGATGGTTTCAAGTCACTGTCAGAGAAAAAAAAAATACGATAATGTCAAACTATTGAATTGAATAAATTTGTCATTGAATGTAATGCAAATGCATACCGATGAACGACACCATGTTCATGTAAATATGCCAAAGCTGAGACGACGGTACGAAGAACAGCGCTTGCTTCACTCTCTGACATTCGTTTCAGTAATAAAATTCGATCCAATAATTCGCCGCCCTTGAGAAGTTCCATCACCAAATAAATATAATTAAAGTCTTCATGTACGCTATACAATGTCACAATATTCGGATGGTTTCCATAACGCAATAGAATCTCGACCTCTTCGCGACAGTCACGATCAGCTTTGCTAATTATTTTCACCGCATATTGTTTTCGTGTGGCACGATGCTCACACAGACGGCATATTGAGAATGTACCACGACCAAGCTCTCGTCCCAATTGGTATTCATCTTGAAATGCGCTCGAATTCAAGCCAGGCATTTCATTTGTGTATGGTGAAATGCGTGACGGAAACAATGGTGGAATGTTTCCGTTACTTGCACTGGATGTTAGTGCACTGGATGCACTTCCACTATTTGAAGCAGGTATTTGTGGAGTATTTCCCGATATTGTATTTGTTGTGTTGCTATCGCTTGGGTTTGTTGTGTTTGAGGTGGTGCCTCCGTTTGTCATGTTTTCAGTTTCGTCCAGTAGACCGGGTGCAATAAAACTAAAACCACGGAATATTTCGCGCGCACTTGCACTAACTGGGCCACCGGGGGAGTCTCGTGGCGATTTACATGTGTATTCTGAATCAAAATAATAAGCATCGTCACGCGACACAGCCGGTATAAATGGTGGACGCACTTTTTTCAACAATAAATTGTCCCAGTCAATTGTTGCAAAAAATTCATGCCTTTTTATTTCATCAATTCCCTCTGGACCGGCTCCAAGTCGATTGCCTGGCACACGTTTGAACAATGCACGCAACTGTAGAACATAAATAACGAAAAAGATGTGATTAGAATGTTTTATTCAATCGAAGAAAACAAAATATATGAAAAAATGAGAGGAAAATTAATGATAAAAAATATGTTCACTTGATTTACAGATTTATTCTCATAAATCATTATTATGGATTTTTACGCATATTTACCAAAGATTGAGCTTCACGACTCAAATTGTCAGGCATTCCGAGTTTGGCTTTTAAAATTTGATCCATTGTTTCTTGTCGCGTTGAACTGTGGAACGGTAGATTTCCCGTCAACATTTCAAACTAAAATACAGATCGAATGCACACACAGAGAGAGGGATGGATAGAGAAAGGGAAACAAAAAATTCAATTTTCGAAACGAATATCATGAATCATGATTGATGAATGTATTTCGGAGAAAAGTAAAATCAACATCAATCAGAATTTTTGATTATTACATTGCACAACGTACCATAAGCACACCAAACGACCACCAATCAGCTGCTACGTCATGACCTTTGCGATTCACTACCTATAAAAAAAACAGAAAAAATATGTAGCTTTTATGTTGGAGCGATTTTTCGATTGAAAAATCGATTGAATAAATAAAATGAAATGTTTACCTCTGGGGCCATATATTCGACCGTTCCGCAGAAACTGTATGTTTTGGAACCGTCGAGTGGTTGCTTTGATAGCCCAAAATCGGTAAGTGCAATATGTCCATCTTGGTCGAGCAGAATATTCTCGGGTTTTAAATCTCGATAAATGATGCCAATGTTGTGTAAGTGACTGAGTGCCAATGCCAATTCTGCCAAGTAGAATTTAACATCTTCTTCCGTGAACATGACCTACATTTTAAAAATTCATAAAAAAACATTGTTGAAGAGAAGAGAAAGAAAAACAATCGCACCACTCAAATGCAAAGTGTTTGCAAATGATATACATCTAAATTGAATTGAAATCGAATTATTTGTACCTCTTTGCTTAGTCTTGTGAAAAGATCACCACCTCGTAAAAAGTCCAAAATCAAATACAATTTTCCGGGCGTTTGAAACGCATAATGCAACTTAACTATGAATGGGTGGCCCACATCTGCTAATATATTTCGTTCGTTTGTGCTTCGTACACGGTCTTTAATTTTTAACGTTGCTTTTTTCAGCACCTAATAAAAGTCAAATGGAAAATGACACAAGTCAGTGAAATGAAACTCGCTACGGTTATCGTCTGAGAGACTTACTTTCATTGCATATAAAACGCCAGCATCGCGTCCAACAATTTTACGCACAAGAAACACTTTTCCAAATGAACCTTCGCCAAGTACTTTGAGCAATTCGAATTGCGATGGATCGGCTTTGTCGTGACCTTCTTTAACAACGTCTTTTAGTTCAATTTCATGTTCGCTTTGGTTGTGATTATGGTGACCTGACTCTAGGTTCAGCTCTTGTTGTGAACCAGACAACGGTGATTTTGTCTGCGGCGTAAGTATCATTTCGGTTTGATCATTTGTATTCGGTTGTAAAATTCGTCCATCGCCTAGCATACGATGCAGACCGCCGTGAATTTTTGTTGTTTCATCAATGGGCTCGTCAACAACCATCTCTTCATCGTTTGTATGCGCCTAAAGCAACGAAATAAAATAAATGGTTTAACAAAATGTTCATTAGCACATTTCGATTTACTTTGGGCGAATTTTATGAAATGAGAAAATACTCCTTGAGATATCAAGAAGAAATTTTGTTGCGCGGAAAATTGATAGAGCATTGATACGATATTGGTTTTTCAAAACACGTTGCATGCACACAAATTAAACAAGAATTATTTGAAAAGAGGGAAAAAACAACTTCAATGGAAGAAGACGCAAACTAATTTTCAGCTTGACAGCTCACACAAACTGTTATCACGATGAGTTTGTGGTGTGAGAATTTTATGCACAAGATTTTATCGCTTTAGTCTGACCAAATAAATGTCTTGGATTCTCTTTTGTTTGCCATTTTCAAAGCGAAACAAATTTCACTTGAGCCAGCAATAATGAGAAATTGATCCCATGAAATGCTGGGCAATGGACGGCGATGAATTCGACTTAAGGAATTTCTTTATTGTCTCTTGAAATGAAAAATGAGGCCCAACAATTCGATGTGGCATTTAATTGAACCACAAGGAACATTATCTATTCACGTATTTGGCGTTTTTTGGCACATTTAAATTGAATTTTCCAAAAAAAAAATCTTAACACAATCATTATTTGCAGATGTTGCGTTTTTTTATTGGAACTAATTTGGTGCGTTGAGAACTAATATAAATACAAATTCTTTCGTTCCTTGGCACTCAGCCTTCTTTAGTATGGTTTGTTTGACATGAACACCCTTAGATTGGACCACTCGGATTTCGAAGGTAAGAAAATTTGATATTTTGTTTACTCCACAGACATGAAAACAAGTATTACGAGATGAAAAAATTCAGGCAAAGGCGCCGGACAAACGAATGAATATTTGCGTGTTTTGAGTTTCATCTGAAGGGAAAATGTTTAGATGTGAATAAGCTTTTGCAAAAACAAATTGGAAAATGGAATATGTCATTCGAGTCGAATACGAAAAGTGAATCTTAAATAAGGTTATTCATTCAATTCACATAAAACGCAAAAACATACAGTCCAAAAGTCGGTAGAAAAAAGTCCAAAACAATAGGACCAAAGAGTTCATATGGTATTTTTGAACAAATGTCATTCATGCTCTACGTTCCATTGTCCTTTTTTTTCTTGATTGAATGTAAAATGTTTTCTTTTCTCCAAGAATTCCAGTCTCTGTAGTTTCGTGACCGAATCACATTTTAAGAAGTTGTATTCGTGTATACGTATAAGCGCATTTGTGAGATTTCTATTGAAAATTTAATGCTTTTCTCTCATCGGTGCCAGGAGGTAAAAGTTGATTTGACGTGGGAGCTAAAACAGACATTTATAGAAAATAATCCTTTCGATTTACCGCGCATTTGCTTTAGAGAACATATTCGTTTGTACAATTGATTTTGTAGCATGTTCCATTGACTCTTGATTTAATTCTATTGCACTTGAGACGTGACATTGTAAGTTCAATAAAATTCACAATAAAAAAAGCGAGAGAAAAAAAAATGCAGAAATCAGAAGATACAAATGAAGCGTAACCCTGTAGCAATCAAACTTTCAACAATTTGCCGCTACGTGAAGAAAAACAACGCCCGTAAAACAAATGCGACACAATGAAGATATTTGGCAGTCTCGTCCCTGCTAAACGTTATTAGGTTGAGAACCACAAAAAGCTTTAGAATACTTACAAAGGAAAAGCACATGGATTTAACAAACAGAACATTTATAAAAGGTCGTATGTTTTATAAATTACATAATTTTTGAGTCATTGAATAATACATATAGGGATGCCGTGTGCAAAGCGGAACATATTTCAACCGAATGATAATTGAATTGAAGAATGCTGTCTTTATTTATTATTCATATGTTATGAATATGAGCATGAATAAAAGATGCCCATCAAGCAATCAATTTAAACGAAAAGACCTGTTGTATGTTGATATAGGGTTTCTATAGGGTCACGTAAATTGATGTTATATTTAGAAAACGCTTTAGATAGTCTCTATTTTCTAATGATTCCATATTGTTTATCGACAATCGATCACCATCGACTTAATGGCTTTGAAAAAAAAACCACACTTAACTTTTACGCCAATTTTCACCAGAATTCAATGAATGTACTTGAATTTTGGTTGAAAAAAAAACGCTGTAAAATTGGAGCTTGTGAAGGTTTCTTTCCTCTCTTGAATTTTCTATTATTGAGCTTATGTAAGGTTTATATCGTTTCCTTTTGTCAAGTTTACTAGAAAAATGTTTGCAATCATCCAAAACATTGTACCCTCAATCGATTTTATATGAAACCGCTTGCGTAAACAAAGATGGAATCCCATTGTATATACAAAATGAAAGCCATGCGATATTCTAAAATATTGAATGTACAACTCGAATTCATTGGAAGCCTGATATGTGTAATGTGTGTGCATGTTAAGAAAATAGAAAGAGCGCGCATTGAAATTATCGTTTGAAGGTCATGTTGTGCATATAACAATATCAAGTGCCAGCCAACTGTTTTATTTTGTTTCTGTTTGGAGGATGTTTGGCGCAAAAGAAAATCAGTTAAAAACCCGAATGGAGAAAGCAAGTATCGATTTTCAGTACACATACAGAACTCGAGAGGGTGAATTAATCAAAATATGTATCAACGCATTGATATAAAAAAATGCGTGGGAACTTCCCAACATACAAATTGGAATTGTTTTGACGCCCGAATTGCCGATATGTATTTTTACCCACACTTGTTCTCGCTTTCTTTCTCTCTCTCACACACACACACTTTCTGGATAAAAACTGCGTCGGTGTTAAATTATTTAATTGATAGAATAATAATCTTAATTGCATGTTATTGAATGTTTAAAAAAAAACATTTCTCGCCTCTATTATTTCGATTGGTTGTAGTCACGAGATAACAGAAATATTTTCATTGTAACATAAAACATTTCACACGACGCATCCATACTTCGATGTAGAGGAATGTAAACAGCAATAAAAAAAACTCATCGTAAATTGCTAGCTATAGCAAATGTGATAAAGTGGCGTTTTGTAATCTTTACACTTGATGTGGGTTTATATATCCACGAGCGCCATCCATGATAGTTTCAATTGGAATGGTATATCTGTAAAATTCTTGCCGGAGATAATAGAAAAGGTCAAACCTTTCGGCATACGACAACATCCACTGTTTCCTTAATCCGATTATAACACATTATTTTTGCAACGAATTTATATGTATTGACCATGTTCCTTTTTTTTAACTTGATTTGCTGCATAAATAATAAATATTTACGTCAGGCTCTTAAATTCTATCACATTGAGTATTTTTTGTCAAATCCATTCATTTTTGTCATGTGATTTCGGTATATGCCTGCGAGTTTATTTATTTATACATCGTTCTTTTATGATCAACAGGAAAATTCGTTGGGTTCCTTCCCGGGGGATAAATTAAATTAACAATTTTAAGTCATCAAAGAAACGGTAAGTTGTCGAATATTGTTTTCTTCTTCTTCTTTCGTTTTCAAAACCAAGACACGGATGTCTTTCATTGTAAACCGATTAATTTGGAAACACTCTCCAAAGTAAAAATGTGAATTTAATACGAATTTCTCTTTCCACATTGGAACACAATGTTCTGGATTCGACTTCTTTTGAATGTGAAAGTTTTCTTGACATTCGCTTTCGTCTGCAGTCTGGTATTCGTTTAATTTTTGATTAATGCGTATGTTTAATTATAGATATTGGGCCTACATACGTTGAGTGGGACGAAAATATTTCTTATTCGGGTGGTTGAAATGAAAATATGTGCAAATTCTTTTTCGTTTCTCGTTAAAAACATGAAAACAAAATCGTAAGTAGTGCTGAAATGTTACGCACATTTGCGTGGGCCATAAGACAGTCAAATCAGCAATCATTCAAGTACACGTGCTGTGAATTCTCATCTGAAAGACATACAATTTATGGGGTTAATGTTTCCGAATTATTGTGATGCTTGTCTTCCGCACAAGTGTTTGTCTTACCATGGTTTTGCCGGTCAAATGATTCTGATTTTGCAAGACAATATCATCGTAAAAATAAACAAACAAATCGTCATGGTTTTTATTCAGATGAACATCGACAAAAGACATAATTGGAGTGGAAGGCTTCTTTGGTATGCCGTCTACTTCGATAACAATTTGCGATCTTTGATATTCGAGTGGTGAAAAGTGGCACTCTTCAGACAGGATTATTGTAAATATGACTGTATTCAATTTGTTCAACCATATAAAATGACTGAAATTCACGGCGCGCTCAGAACTTCAAGTACCAACATCTCTTATCTTCGATGCACTGATAAAGTGATAATATATTCTTCTTTTGGAAGAGCAAAAGTCTTTCAATTGTGCAAAATGAACAGCGAACAGAAAAAAAAACTTTGAACAATACCGTTGAAATTGTTTATTCAGTCTTCCCGAAGTCTGATTGACGTCAGACGATAATATCTTTCTCACATCATCAAAATCAATGCTGATTTATTTAAAATAACAAAGTATTTTCATTGTTGTCTAGAAGAAATTGCGACGCGCTGCTGAAATCGTTCGGTTCGATAATTTTCCATTTGAAGAATTACGTTTTCAATACTAATTGGGAACCATTTCATTCGAACATAGGATTTAATCATTTTAAATGCACTGCACTGAAGAGCTCTCAAAACCTTCGGATCGAAATAAAAAAAAAAATTCTTCATTTTGTTGTAATATTTTGGCATTAACTTGATTCACGTATTTTGCGTATTCAATTTAATTTTTAGCTATTAATCGGCGCATATCGGGATTAATTGGATGAAACGAGATTACAAAATACGCAAAATGCACATTCAATGGATGTAGCACAATTATTTTTTCATTGAAATAGAAGCATTTCCTTAATTATGAGCAAAATTGGCTTATAAAACAATTGAATTGAGATTTTTTTTTGTTTTGAATACTTCAACACAAATAAGCTTTTCTTATTGTTCTAAAGAGAGAGCA